AAACGTACATGATGATATCACACCTTTAAAATAGCGTCGAAATAATACATCTGAAACACACATTACTTATTTCAATCGATGAAGCCACGAAGAGAGTGTGTCGGGAGGAAGGCAACAGTTACGTTGGTAAATCAACTGTGATGATATCACACCTTTAAAATAGCGTCGAAATAATACATCTGAAACACACATTACTTATTTCAATCGATGAAGCCATGAATTGAGTGTGTCGGCAGGAAGGCAACAGTTACGTTGGTAAATCAACTGTGATGATATCACACCTCGTTTAGTATCAACGTTTCAGATTTGGAAGTGCGCACATCATTATGTTCTTTACTGTGTAGTTTTGTGGTTGTTCGTACGTGAGGTACAGTTGTTGACTGTGCGTGAAAATAATGTATACTCCTTAACAAGGATCTATGTCAGCTAATTTCAGTAACGACCTACGTCACAGCATGCTGAGATAAATTCCTTGTAAACCTATTCCAATTTTTTTTTTCTTCTGTGTACAGATGTACGTAAGCTGTGCTCTGGGAGTTGAAGCAGTGGGCTATACCATGATGTGCATGGGAGTCATGAACACCCTGGGCTCCTTCACTGTCTACCAATTCGCTAAACACATCAAAAGACCAATTATCATGGCGGCAGGCTTCATCTTTCAGGTTGGACTTCTAATGGTCCTGTGGTTGTGGAAGCCTGTCAGAGACGACATAGCAGTTTTTTATGTCATTGCTGCAGGTTGGGGACTGTGCAACGCCATCTGGGAGACACTTACTTTGAGTACGTAAAACATATATAATTATTTGTGTATTGAAAAAATTATTAATAAAAACTGTCTACTTAAATAAAACGTTAAACTTTTAAAACTAAGTAAATTAAATACAAATATTAAGACTTTGTTGGTATAAGAAATTTTAATGTTCGAGCTCTTTCTACAATTTTACAAATTTCCATGTTTACATCTAACTTAAAGTCCAGCTTTAATTATGCTAAAATTTTATTTTTTGTGGATTTTAGTCTTAAAATTGTTCATTTATTGTTTTAAACTTTACAAATTAAACCAATAGGATTTAATTCTGTTACCAGAAACACACAGTAATAGATGACCTGTCAGAGTTTCTAATTAACACAATGTTCAATGATGGATTAGCCGTTTGTAAGGAACTTATTGAATATATTCACTGTAAGAAAACGACAGGTAAGTTTTCGACAGGCTTAATGGAAATAAAATTTGATGATGGGTTTCAATATTGACACTTTATATACTAATTACATCAAGTGATTCAGTTAACAGATTTAATATTTAGAGATGATGACTTCGTTTAAGGTTTAAAAATATCTATTTATTGAATTAATGAAGTTTGCAGCTATTAAATCACATTTTGAGTTTAATTGTTTGTGTTTCTATTACATAGTTACACAAAAGGTTATTTGCTCTCCGTACCGCGCGAGGTGTGGAAATCCAGCTTTTTAGCATTGTAAGTTTGTAAACCTACCGGGAACTTTAAGTTAAATAACAAAATTTATGATCAAATAGATGGAGCAGCAGCGGGAACGAAACTAGCTTCATTTATTTTTGTGTTATTTGTTTGTTTGTAATTAAGCACAAAGTTACACAATGGACTATCTGTGATCTGCCCACCACGGGTATCGAAACCCGGATTCTAGCGTTGTAAGTCCGCAGACATACCGCTGTGCCACTGAGGGGGGGGCTTTTGTGTTATCACGAAAAACAACGGCTAGAAAATTGCCCTTCAAAGAATCATACTTATATTTTTTAATAAGAAAGAACGTATAAAACGGTTTATGGACCATTAAAATAGTCAACACCATTGTATTAAGTTTTCAGTAGTAGAAGAAAGAGATTCAAACTTCTCTCCCTGGATCTGGATATTTTTAACTTGGGTAGCATGTTTAAGTTAGGTATTTATCACAAACTAACACATTGAGGGTGGTTGAACCATGTTGACAGTTCAAGATTATTCTCATAATTAAAAATATATTTATTAAATATGATTTTCATTTATCTGTTATCAACAGAATTATTAAGCAATTCTTGAATAAGTTGTACATCCCCAAATACGTGTCGAAATTAACATTATTTTTTGAGGGTTAAATATTGATAAAAAAGTCAGGAAGATTTTGCGTGGGACTCATCCACAACTGTTTGTTTGGTTTTAAACCTGTATTGAAAATTATAGTTTTTTCAGAGTAAAAGATCGTAATGATAAAATAGAACGTTCATTTGTGGTCTGTCGGTTTTTCTGTTCTCGTTATTAACGAGAGTATGTTCGATCAAAGCTTTGCCACCCTGGTTTTCAAGTATTAAAGCATTTACAGTCAAGACTATCTAATTAATAACAGCTTCCGATTAGAGCAAGCTGTGTAGTTAGAGCAAAACCAAATTCAAGTATAAACTAACATCTACGTAGTGAATGTGACGGAGAAGCACGTGAAAAGTAATTTAGTATAGTGTGTTCTGCGGAAAATGAAGGAGTAAAGATAAACTCTATATCAGGAAACTGAAACCTGAACTTAGTGCTAATTGTTTGACACTGGAAACTACTTTGAAGATATAAAACCAGGGTTTTGTTGTAATTATCGCAAACCAATAAATAACTAAAACTTGAACTTAATGTTTGGGGTTGGATGCAGGGGTCTAAAGCAAAGTTTGGTATAGTTTGATATCTATAAAATCAATCAAGGTCGCTAGACAAGTTATTATCTTAATTATCGTGACTGCCACAAGTACATTACAGAGGCTAATCGGGTGGCACAGTAGTAACCTCGAAGGCGTGTAACGCTGCAATTCGGAGTTCGGTCCCTGTGATGAGCACAGTGCAGATTATGCTGCTTTCCTTTTTACAACAAACAGTCTTATGAACTTTAAAATGTTTGATAATAAATACGATTACGACACTTATGAGATACAACATCGTTTGTTAACAAAAAGGGGACATAGATAAACATAAGTGTCGTAATCTTGTTTAAAATGTTTGATAATAAACAAGATTACGACACTTATGAGATACAACATTTTTTTGTTAACAAAAAGGGGACATAGATAAACATAAGTGTCCTAATCTTGTTTAAAATGTTTGATAATAAGCAAGATTACGACACTTATGATATACAACATCGTTTGTTAACAAAAAGGGGACATAGATAAACATAAGTGTCGTAATCTTGTTTAAAATGTTTGATAATAAACAAGATTACGACACTTATGATATACAACATCGTTTGTTAACAAAAAGGGGACATAGATAAACATAAGTGTCGTAATCTTGTTTAAAATGTTTGCGTGTACACTAAAGAGAGAGAACAAATCCATATTACCGTCAGTGATTGTATTATTTTTGATACACTATCTAATATAACATTTCATTCCTCTTGAGACATCCTGATAAAAAGGAACATTCTCAAGTCACCATATCCATCTTTATCAGTTTCTGCTCTTGTTTCTAATAATCCCCCATGCAAGTAAAGAAAAATTCGATATTCTTTACATCAGGTAAAGAATGAGTTGAGAATGCTGATAATGATGTCTTACAGCTTCCGTCTCGTGAGCTCCATTCAACTGAAAGCAATAATAATTGGTGCACTTTCTCACCATGTTTGATATACGCCAAGAAGAACGCGGTGTTTCGTCATTCATATAAACATGTTCGTGTATGTCAAAAACAAAAAGTTTGTGTTTCGTCACATAAAGTATAAAATAAAGTATCGCTGTGTCAAGTTTAGTGCTGATTGATCGAGAAATGTGGAAACGTATAGGGAATATATATGAAATGATAGATATACGATCATGTTTAACGTACGAGAACGATCCGGAAACAACATGTTTAGGTGAAATGTCAAACAAGTGCTTCAGATTTTACTTTTTACAAAAAAAAAAAATGTACTGAGAAAAAATTGTCCCGAAACGACATCATTTTCAATATTAGGTCTTTTATAGAAATAGTCTCGTGTCGTAAGTTTGGTTATTGTCACTTTCTTCCAGTGGAATTGAAGTTAGTTCTCTGCAACAAAAACACAGACAGAGGTTGTTTTTTTTTTCACAAGAGCATTGGTACCACTGAACATGATGTGCACAAAACATCTCTCCACAAACTGAACGTTGTCCAATATCACCCATAAGCTATCTGATCTATATAGTAGTGGTTAGTCCCTATATTCCTATTAGTCTTCGGGAAACAGCTCTGACTTTTTACTAATGACCACATTTAATTACTGAGGCTTTGTGGTTTGGATGTAGACAGAGCGGCAAACAATCTAATTACATTCTGACGATGTCCTTTCATTAATTACAGCCTCGCGAGTTTGTGAAGAACCTGTAACCAGCGAATTGAAAAAAAACACAAAAGACTCCTTATTGTTTTTATTATTATACTACTAGCCGGAGTACCAGTCCGTTGGACTGGTGAAATAAAAACTCATTTGTGACAAAGGATAGAAAATAGTGCTTCTATTTTTTTTAAACATAATAAACATTAAAAGTGCAATAAAAAATACATAAAGGTGCCAATAGTGAAAAGAAAGACATATTGTTTTCAAGAATTCTGTCAATATGAAATTAGTTGGGGGGGTCCAACCCCCACCCCTTCATGACCTCATGCCATCCTGTATCAAGTTTGGAGCTGATTGATCGAGAAATGTGGAAACGTATAGGGAATAGATATCAAATGATAGATATACGATCATGTATTTTTCCCCGGACACACACTACATTTCTAACCTATTTGAGTTGGTGTAATTAATCAGATAATGTTCTTCTGATTCTACCTATACATGTTAAGTATGTAGAGTGACAGTGTGTAGTTCATCGTTAGTGTCGTGCTGTTGTTTTTTTAGCTATCAAATTTGTGCTCTGTTCTTTATTTCATTTTCATAATTGAATACGTAGTTCATTGCGTTCATCTTGGATCTACCACTATAAGTCTTTACAGTCGAACAACAGAACAATGCAACGCTAGAAATCTACAACGCTAGAAGTATTACCAACTACTGTCTGAACCAACGTATTGTTGTATCCACCTCCAGTTTTTTTTCCACATCATCCTTTATTCCCAGGAAGAATACCAACTTAGAATTCTTGAATCTCTTGCCTTTGAGCTAAGAAAACCAGCTTTTAATCAGAAGATGAGCAGACTGCTACTACATCTTCAACTGTGAAAACGTAAAGAAAGAACAGGACATGAACTTTATTTGTTGAATATGAGGAGTACTAAAACCACTGTTGTTTTTGTAAGTACAGTAATCAGAAGACAGAACACCAGTTCTCGCCGGACCAATATTCATATTAAAACGAAATTTGTATCGATGTAACTTGTGAAAGCACAGGTTAAGACGAAAATCTCGACGGCTGCTTCCTAGCTAAGAATACAATTGGAGAAATATTGAGCAGTTAAATCCTTAATTCTGGTTACATGTATTTGTTTTATCACTGGTTTTATTTCAAAACATGTTACTTTTATAAAACATTTAATGTACACCAACTGTACTTTATATGTTTTTGTTTTATTTGTTGTTAAGCACAAAGCTACACAACAGGCTGTCCGTGCTGTGCATACAGCGGGTATTGAAACTCGATTTTTATTGTTATTATCCCTCAGACTTATCGCTGAGCTACCGAGAGGAAATTCTTCATGTATCGTATTTTTTGTTTTAGATTTGGCTAACAAATATTGAAAGAAAAGGTGAATTTGTATTTACGTCACCTGAGTGGATAAATGATATCGTAATGTAGCCACAAAACGACTATGTTTGTTTTTCTTTTTTTACAGGAAGACTGTATGTAGCTTAGCTTATATAAAGTGCAAAATCAAATATACTTTCTGAAAAAAACGAGCTTAATAAACCAAGATTAATTTCTTAGAATTATTAGGTATACCATTAAGCGTGGTACAAAAATCCATTAAAATTAGTTTACATTTCTATTTACTTATATATATATATATATATATGTATTTGTGGTTTATCAGGTTTCGTTGCCACAACCTATCGTGAATATATATATGTATTTGTGTTTATCAGGTTTCGTTGCCACAACCTATCGTGAAGATATATATGTATTTGTGTTTATCAGGTTTCGTTGCCACAACCTATCGTGAATATATATATATGTATTTGTATTTATCAGGTTTCGTTGCCACAACCTATCGTGAAGATTGGCAATCTGCATTTTCCCTTTACTTCCTTGCTCAGGCGTTAGGCTTAACTCTGGCCTTTTGTGGAAGTCTTTATTTCTGCCCTGGAATTCAAATATACATCCTCGCTGGAACATTGGTAGTCTCTGCTGCTCCCTACAGTTGTCTGGAGTTTCGTTTGCACCAGCAGAGGAAATTCCAAGAACGCTCCGCCATGTTGTGACGTAATAAGCTGTAAGCCTGATGGATGACGTGGTTTCTCTGTTTGGGAACACGTGTTTCATCAATTATAATTTGTCATTGAAATAGATGTATATATAGGATGTCGATATGTGTACGTTATAGCTACATAGAAGTTGTATACGTTTACTCAATATTAAAGCTTACTTATAACTGCTTTTTAATATATATATATAATGTTATATTTATACTCGTATAGCCCTACTGAGAATGTTAAAATACACTGAATAGAATAAATATACACCTACATAGTTAACCAAAAGTGACATCGTTATCTTCTCTAAGGATGGAATAGATAAACAAAGAACTATTCAGTAAATAAAAGCAATGACGAATATAGAAAACTAGACCATTGTCGTCAATCGTTTCGTTAAACTATGGAAGGCATCACCAGTAGGGTTTAGCCTGCTCCGGTTGTATAGAACAAGGCTGGATGTTTAGTGTTATCTAGTGTTGTATGACATATTGTCAAAAACATGTAAGAAGTATTGTAGAGAAAAGTTATAAATGTCATTTAACATGTATATTTTAGAATACTAAGAACAACAAGCAAGAAACGTTTGTTGTTAAAATATGTATTTGAGTTTTTTTATTGTCATTGTAATTGTACGTGATAGATATGTTTCTATTGAAGTATGTAATGTCTAGGGACTTAATCAACTCCCTAATTTGTAACTCGTTTGTAATATCATAAAACGTGATTATAGGTTTATATTAATGTTATACGAGACGTTTCAATTCTTGCGACAAACGGCTTGTTCATTTGATCTTCGTGTAATTCCTTTCATAGTTCTTGATCAAGAGCGAACATTCAGTGAAGTAACTATTCGTTGAAATGTATATCAATAAAAAAAGAGTAGGATAGTTTATTAACTACAATGGTATATTGGTTGTTCGGAACAGTTATTAAAAACGAATAAAACTCTGTAGTAATCGTAAAGATGTATTCATTGTTAGGAACAGTTATTAAAAACGAATAAAACTCTGTAGTAATCGTAAAGATGTATTCATTGTTAGGAACAGTTATTAAAAACGAATAAAACTCTGTACTAATCGTAAAGATGTATTAATTGTTAAGAACAGTTAATAAAAAGAGATAAGAAACTATAGTAACCGTAATGATTTATTCGTTGCTATATAAAGTAAAAAAAATAACCTACGATGTAGTAACGGAATGATGTACCACTTGTTAAATACAGTTAATAAAAGACAAAAGACACTGTAGTAACCGTAATGATTTATTCGTTGCTATATAAAGTAAAAAAATAACCTACGATGTAGTAACGGAATGATGTACAACTTGTTAAATACAGTTAATAAAAAGACAAAAGACACTGTAGTAACCGTAATGATTTATTCGTTGCTATATAAAGTAAAAAAAAACCTACGATATAGTAACGTAATGATGTACAACTTGTTAAATACAGTTAATAAAAAGACAAAAGACACTGTAGTAACCGTAATGATTTATTCGTTGCTATATAAAGTAAAAAAATAACCTACGATGTAGTAACGGAATGATGTACCACTTGTTAAATACAATTAATAAAAAGACAAAAGACACTGTAGTAACCGTAATGATTTATTCGTTGCTATATAAAGTAAAAAAAATAACCTACGATGTAGTAACGGAATGATGTACCACTTGTTAAATACAGTTAATAAAAGAGGAAAATACACTGCAGTAATCGTAATGTTGTATTCGCTGTTATGCACGACCAGAAAACAAAAACACGTAGTAACCACAATAATGCATTCGTTGCTATCAAAGGTTAATAAAAAGA